ATGTCCTGACTTAGATCAGCCCAGAGGTTGTTTCAGGGTTCAATCTGTGAGTTAGCCATGTCCTGACTTAGATCAGCCCAGAGGTTGTTTCAGGGGGATTGATCTGTGAGTTAGCCATGTCCTGACTTAGATCAGCCCAGAAGTTGTTTCAGGGTTCAATCTGTGAGTTAGGGTGCCCTGACTTAGATCAGCTCAGAGGCTATTTTAGGGTTCGATAAAATTCGAATCGTTTGCTTACTCATTCGCAGTCAAAACATTCAGGCTTAAAAGGCAAGCATACAGTTTCATTTGCAGTTTTTCATATTTTCCGTTTTTCTTTACTTAACACTTTCGCTTTGATGGTTAGCTGACCTCTGGTAATGAAATATATATATACATATATAAAATAAAGATTTTCATTCATTTTTCATTTCCATTATCCAGGTTGGTCTAATTCTGGTATTTTTGGGGGTATTTTTGTTTGTTTGTTTTTTCGTTTTTTCATATATTTTTTTTATTTAATGCGAGGCACAACACTCCTACAGAATACCAACTGATCCTGAGAAACGTAATATTTCAGGTTGGTCTAATTCTGGTATTTTTGGGGGTATTTTTGTTTGTTTGTTTTTTCGTTTTTTTATATTTTTTTTATTTAATGCGAGGCACAACACTCCTACAGAATACCAACTGATCCTGAGAAACGTAATATTTCAATATTAAAAATGACCAAAACATTAGATATTAATCGTATAAAATATGTCCAAAATATTCACCGGAAACTACGTCAAAGTATCCGGCAACGTCATGGATTTGATTGTGTCTCGGTAATGGCTGACTGTCGTGGTGGGAGGCGTAGTAAAATCCTTTCCTGATTCAAGCTTCACTTCCTAATTGAAGACCCTTTGCTTGTCATCCGGACTCTTTCATAGCCGATATCTTCTTATACCAGAATTGCGAAACCATTTTCAATCAAGGGTGAATACTAGATTCATGGTTTTAGATTCTAGTAGTGAAGATTTGAGTTTGTGGCAGGCCTCGTTTCTTTTTCCAGGACGAATTGTTACTATTGGACAGCTTGTCGCTCAAACAAGCAACAAATTCCAACCCACAACGATAATACAAATGGCATCTTTTGCTACAGGTAAAGTTGTCTTTGTTAAGCAGACTTAAATCATTTGCTTTAAGTTAAGTCAATTTAAGTCGATTTTATCTAATAGAATAAATGTAAAGACTATTTTTTGCTGTGTTAGGGAGTATATGTGAAAACGTTGGGTTAAATGAGTTACTTGGATAACAGAACATTTAGATCGCCAACTGTTATGATGTCGTTGGCATAACTGAAGGCAAGGATAAGCAAAACAAACAACAGCCTTGAGACAAGAACTAAAAAATATAGACAGATCCGATATGATTAATCCTATTACACGCTACATATATCCTTGATGCACCATACTTTGCTATACAGGACTATGCTACACTATATTTTGCTATACTGGTCCAAGTTCTTAGACAGTGTATGCGATGTATTTGTTAAATATATAAAAGTTTTTTTGAGTTTCCAAGGGACTAAAATGGCACCATGCAATAAGGAAATAAGCCATTGTTGTATGAGATATGATGTACTGAAGTACATCAGCCTATAGAAGAGGACTTTACTGCTATTGACTGCTATCTCGTTTCTTCGTATGACTTTCGACTTGGCACGGAAAGACATTTTTAAAGAATTTTTTGCTCTTAATTTCAGAGAACCACGCAGGAATAATTATTTCTTATGTATCTTAGACTAAATTAATGCTTGCCGGCTTTGTTTTTACTTGGTTATTAATAGACTGATTGGCATCTGATGTTTGTATATACATTCCTTTTATTTGCATGTTAAGACTTCCTTTTTTTACTTCTTAGCTTTGAAGGAAATACAAGTACAATTCAAATCTTAATCCGCTAACTTCTGTCTTGATAAAAGTACATTTTATAGATAGCGTTCTGATCTTTTCTGTATTTCCTTAGAGTTACAATTCTGTGTTTTTACCACAATTTTGAACCAATGATCTTCAATTTAACCTAAGGCAGTTTCTACTGTGTTTTTTCATTTATTTCGTATTAAAAGTGTTTTGATATCGAGTTAAGTTCATAGTAGACGGTAGACACAAAACATATAAATGAGTAGATCGATTCACGGATCACCTGTGAATATGTCGTAAAGGGAACTTCAGTTACTATTCATAGCACTACGGAAACGACTCAAAATCTAATGACGTCAACACCTAAATACTTAGCAGAAGTACTTAGGCATCTTTTCTATGATTGGATGATTCCTTAGGACTTATCCATAACAGTTCGTATTAAGTATTTCTCTTTATCTTGCTATCAAATAATGAATTGGCCGCTTCTTTCTCGTTCAAATCGTTTGCGATAAAGCCGCTAAATAGCTCTAGTTATGATACTAAATGATCTTATTCACTATATAAAAGACCATACATGCTTAATCCACTGACGCTCAATATTTCATTCATTTAATAGGAATTTAGTATTTCACTTCACGGTACATGAGGAACGATATTCATCATTCCAATTCCCGATAATTGTAAACTTCATAATAAATATAATCGGGACTTTTCCATGATGTAAAGCTGGTTTCTTGAATTCTCAGACTACAGTGTTGTTGCCCTTAGCAATCTATATCTATTATGAAGCATTCATCTGGTGTAGTGATTCCAAACTCAACTGTTTTGGCGTTCTGTGTATTGTTTATATACATATTCGCAATATTGGCCATATATGATGGCCAGTCAATTTGCCACCCAAAAAAATGAGCCAAACCACGACCCAACGACTTTACTAGACATTTTATGAAGTAAAATTTTAGTTTCGAATTTTTTATTTGGTAAGGACAAAGCAAGTAAAGCATCACTTTGACATTGATTGGATACTTGATCTTGACAGTAAAACATTTTCTCAACTATTTGCTTTGGATTTTCTCCAAAACATTTTGATTGTTTGAGAAGCCATTTTAAACAGATGGAAGAGTTTTTCATCCTCTATCCAACCAAAACTTCTTGGGCTTACCTCTACGCTCGCTTTTGCAGTCCACCCACTTCTCGATATTTGAATATCGAATAAAAACACTCCTTTGTACGAACCCGGCACTTCATGAAGCATTCAATTTGTTTTCCAGAAGAGAGGAAGAAGCTGGGAGGCACAAAGACTGCCGTCCATCTGTGGGAGTTCTTGCTCGAGTTGCTTGCAGATGAAAGCTGTACATCCATGATAACATGGACCAAGAAAGAACAAGGAGAATTCAAGCTACGAAATCAAGAGGAAGTTGCAAAACGATGGGGAGATCTAAAACAAAGACCTGGTATGAACTATGACAAGCTGAGTAGAGCATTGAGATACTATTACCAGAAGAACATCATCAAAAAGGTAAGTTGGCCTCAGAATTTAGAACTAAATTTTAAACCTCTGCAACTAGCGTCGGTCCTAATATAAGCCCTAGCAATTCTTTACACAACATCGATTACCTGAAATAGCATGCAAGGTCTGGACTGATCTAAGTTAGGGCAAGCTATAACTCACAGATAGATGGAATTCGAATTTAGCTTGTTAAGTTTTGTGGAGTGAGGAAAACCAGACAACCTGGAGAAAGCCCCTCGAATCAAAAGGGTGGGATCTAACCATCTCTACTCGCTAGCATCGAGTCCCCAGAGTAGAGGTGAGAGGCGAGTGTATTACTACTGCACCATCCATGATTCCTCGATCAACCCATGAACCAGGAAGCCTTCCTCTACATTCTTCTTCTGAAATTTGCCGTCTGATTTTAAGGAGCTAATACATTGAAATTTTACTTGCTCTCGATAGGTGAATGGACAAAGATTAGTTTACAAGTTTGTAGAATTGCCCTATAACTACAAGCCAACAAGAAGTGCGACATTCCTCTCCACAACAGAAAATGACGCAGTAAAGACCAATGAAAACGATGACAACAAAACCATCAAAACAGAGCCTCTCGAGAAACCAAACAAACCTTCAGACTTCAAAGTCACTCAGGAACCAATCAAAGGCAAGCTTTTAAAACACGTGGCTAACGATCCGGTCAATCGCGTAGTAATATCAAAGCCGACATCGGTTATAGTTCGGTGTGGCCGTGCGCGGGCACTCAATCAGCAAGTGTCGGCATGTGCAAATCCTTAGGTGTCAACTATCCTTGGGACTATAGCTGAAAGTCTGTAAAGAGAACACTCTTTTATTTGCCCTGTAAATTTTTAGGTCTGTTCCCGATAGCCCATCTCTATAATAGAGATGATACTTACAAACCATATCCATAATTGGGGATCTTCAGTTCCTTATATATTCCCTGTTTATATTTGTGGATCTTGGGATGCCCCTAATAGCCATTGTCCATTTTCATGGATGTTCCTCATAGCCCATTCGTGGCATGGATGTCCATATTCGTGGATGTCTCCAATAGCCCATGTCTATACTCGTAGGTGTCCCTAATAGCTCATGTCCATATTCGTGGATGTCCCTAATAGCTCATGTCCATATTCGTGGATGTCCCTAATAGCTCATGTCCATATTCGTGG